GCGGCCTCCCACCACTGCCCCCGCCTGCCCCGCGGCTCCTCCTATGTAGGGTTGCCAGATGGTTGAAACAAAAATACTGAATACCCCTCCCCCAAAAAAACACCCAGAAAAAATTCTGTTGAAGGAAAAAAAGGGGGGGGGAGACGAAAGTTGTTGAGAAAAAAAAAGGACTCCAAGACTTATTAAGCAAAAAAAAAAACCCCACAAACTAAAACAGCATTAAAACAGCAGGTCCCCTTTAAGAGTGAGTGCAGGGATAGCAACGGAGGAGCGGTTGAGCACTAAGACCCAAGGGAAGCATTGCTTCCCCTTGGTCTTTTGGCCAGCAGCCATTTTGTGCCGGCAGCCTTGCAGAACCAGGAAAGCTTGGGGGCTGGGGTCGGGGCGCTGGGGGTGTTAGAAGCCAGGGGGGAGCTTGGGACGGGGGGAAGGCCGGGCGCTGAGTGTGTATAGGGTTGCCAGGTGCCCGGAATTTTCACTTCCTGGCTGGGGGAAAAAAAAATAAGAAAATATCGGACAGCTCAGGACATTTTAGGACATCTCAGGTGTCTGGGATTCTCTGAATTTTTTTACCGGACAGGAGGCAAAAATCCCAGCCTGCCGAGGTAAACACGGACACCCAGCAGCCCTACTTACGTGCAGGGGAGCACGAGGCTCGCAGGCTATTTTAAAGCGGATGGGAAGCTTCTGACTCATTTTTCTCACGCTGAGTCATCTCCATTCATGAGACCAGCCCAGAGTTCTGCTTTGGCGGAGCCAGCCTGGCTCCCCGCAGCCCAGCTGGTGACATTCCTAGAGCCTTATTCAGAGGCCAGAAAGCTGTAAAAACTCCCCCATGTGAGCAATTATGTAAGTGACCGCCTCCGTCAGTAACCAGCATGGAATTAGTTACTCGCTGTCCCAGTCAGGACCTCGCCTTGACGGAGTGTGACCCTCATTCTGGGTCATCCCCGGTGCCGTGACCATTTGGAGGCGCTGGCCAGCCTACTCCTTGGCCCAAAGCATTTGTCTGTGGCCTCACCTCGGAAAACACCGTTCTAGTTGGCAAATTATCCTGGAGCAAGGAACTGAGGGTTCAGCCCCACAAGGGACAAAATACTTCTTGGGCCACCGCAAAGTGACACATCCTTTGACCCAGCAGAGTGATCTGAGAGCACCTCAAACATGGAGTCTGTGGCTGGGTATGTGCAGTGTGGGGCAGGGGAGAAGCACCTCTCACCTGTTCCAGGGAACAGCTAAGCCAAGGCAAAACGTACCCGTTAAAACGCCTTTTGTACTAACCAGATTTCGTTCACAAGAAGTGTCTGTTTTCAGCAAAAAGTTTCAACTTCTCTAAAAATCTGACCCATGAAAACTGAGAAATTCATCTCCTGGAGGGATGCTGTGACCAGAAGGACTAATCTGATCCTTGGGAGCACAAGCAGCGGAGATGTGAGTAGGAGCAGAGAAGTGATTTTACCTTGGTATACAGCATTTGAGAGCCCAGTACTAGAAAGCCGCAAACAGTTCTGTGGTTTACATTTCTAAAAGGATGCAGCCAAGAGCACAAACATTATTCAAGGCCTGGAGAAAAGGTCTTACAACGAGCTCCTTGAGTTGATTACAGCATGTTAGCACCATCCTGTGGAGAGAGTCTAAAAACATCTTTCCCAGACAGAACAAGCACCAATATCTGGAAATTGAATCCAGAAAAATTCCTAGTGGAACCATGACACGCCTTTTTATGTGCAGGGTTTTTACCATAGGAACAAAGTCCCAAGGGAAGTGGTAATGTCTTCATCTCCTGCAGTCTTCAAATTAAGACTGGATGCATTTCTGCAAAATCCTTTAGTGACGTCAAACAAGTTAGCGGGCTCAGCATCAGGTACCTGGATGAAATTCTCTGGCCCATGACATACAGGATGTCAGACCAGAATCTAGTGGATGTTCAGAAGCTAAAATGGAAAAGAACAAGTCCAAAATTACATAGAGAAGTTAGAAGTCTTCACGTCCCCCAGAACTGATGAGATGCACCTTCGAATACTCAAGGAGCTGCCTCTAGAGAGAACTGAGCCTTTGAGGAGTCACAGAAGACAGGAGAGATTCCAGAAGACTGGAAAAGGGCAAATCTAGTGCCCATCTATAAAAAGGGAAATAAGAACAACCCAGGAAACTACAGACCAGTCAGTTTAACTTCTGTGCCAGGAAAGATAATGGAGCAAGTAATTAAGGAATCCATCTGCAAACGTCTGGAAGACAATAAGGTGATGGGGAAGAGCCAGCATGGATTTGTAAAGAACAAATCGTGTCAAACCAATCTGACAGCTTTCTTTGATAGGATAAGGAGGCTTGTGGTTAAGGTAGAAGCAGTGGACATGGTATAACTAGACTTTAGTTAGGCATCTAATACGGTCTTGGATGACCTTCTTATCAGTAAAGTAGGGAAACACAACCTACATGGGGCTACTGTAAGGTGGGTGCATAACTGGCTGGATAACGGTTCTCAGATAGAACACGATCCTGCTGGAAAGGCATAACAAGTGGGGTTCCGCAGGAGTCTGTTTTGGGACCGGTTCTGTTTAGTATCTTCATCAATGATTTAGATATCGACACAGAGAGGTCCCTTATTAAGTTTGCAGACGATACCAAGCTGGGAAGGGTTGCAACTGCTTGGGAGGAGAGGGTCATTATTCAAACTGAGCTGGACAAACTGGAGAAATGGTCTGAGGTAAAGAGGATGAAGTTCAATAAAGACAAATGCAAAGTGCTCCACCTCAGGAGAAGCATCCATTGCAGCAGAGGTGAAGGGAAGCGGGTGCATCCTGGTGCACAGCTCTGTCAAGCGCTGGCGGAGCTGCGGCAAAAGCCAGCAGGGAGCTATGTAAAGAGCTGGCAGGGACCCAAATTAAGTTCCTTTCACCCCTGCATTACACACACACAAAATGTGCAGTGTCCGTCTAGGAAGGAGACGGCAGGAAGGCATCCGGGGCCATAGGGGACTACAAGCTAAATGAGGGTATGTCTACACTACAAAGTTAATTCGAACTAACAGACGTTAGTTCGAATTAACTTTGATAGGCGCTACACTAGCGCTCCGTTAGTTCGAACTTAATTCCAACTAGCGGAGCGCTTAGTTCGAACTAGGAAAACCTCATTTTACGAGGACTAAGCCTAGTTCGAACTTACTAGTTCGAATTAAGGGGAGTGTAGCCCCTTAATTCGAACTAGTGGGAGGCTAGCCCTCCCCAGCTTTCCCTGGTGGCCACTCTGGCCAACACCAGGGAAACTCGTCTGCCCCCCTCCCGGCCCCAGACCCCTTAAAGGGGCACGGGCTGGCTACGGTGCCCGTGCCAGGGGCAAGCCTGCCAGCACCCAGCTAGCAGACCCTGCACCTGGCACGGCTCGAGCCAGCCACCCGCTGCCCCCCAGCCCTCCCCCTCTTCCCGGGACCAGGCTGGCGGCTCTCGGGAGCTTGCCCGGGACCGCAAGAGGCGGGCACCCGCCTGGTCTAGTGCGGAGATCGTGGACCTCGTCCACGACCTCGGCACTAGGCACAGGAAAGCGGCCGTCTAGGGCAGGAGAGCTGCCAGCCTGGCCACCCAGGAGCAGGTGTGCATGAAAATCAAGGTGGTCCACTGAGACCCCCGACCCTGAGCCCTGAGCTTAGAACGGCCATACTGGGTCAGACCAAAGGTCCATCTAGCCCAGTAGCCTGTCTGCCGACAGCGGCCAACCCTAGAGACCCTGGAGGGGATGGACCAAAGACAGTGACCAAGCCATTTGTCTCGTGCCCTCCCTCTCCAGCCTGCCACAAACTTTGGGCAGGGACACCACTCCTACCCCCTGGCTAAGACTACTCCATGGACCCAACCTCCATGACTTGATCTCACTTCTCTTTAAACTCTGTTCTAGTTCTAGCCTTCACAGCCTCCTGTAGCAAGGAGTTCCACAGGTTGACTCTTTGCTTTGTGAAGAACAACTTTCTGTTACTAGTTTGAAGCCTGCTACCCATTCCTTTCCTTTGGTGTCCTCTAGTCCTTCTTTCTGGGAACTAATGAAGGACTTTTCTTGATGCACCCTCTCCACCCCACTCATGCTTTTATAGACCTCTATCATATCCCCCCTCCGTCTCCTCTTTTCTAAACTGAAAAGTCCCAGTCTCTTTAGCCTCTCTTCATATGGGACCTGTTCCAAACCCCTCATCACTGTAGTTGCCCTCCCCTCTCCCACCCTCTCTCTTCCCCTCTCCCACCTCCTTTTCCCAGTCTCCCCCAGTTTTGTTCAATAAAGAGAGATTCTATTTTTGAACACAATTGTCCTTTATTTAGTACATCAGGAAGGGGGGCTAGGGAGGGGTAAGTGGAAGGAGGTGAGGGAGGAATGGGGTACGAGGCCCCGATGGGGAGGACTGGGCTGGCTCTGC